GATTGTGGGACATTTGGTAGTATTGTGTTTTGAATTATATTTGTTTTCGTTTCATGTTTGATTTCGATACTTTAATATGATTTGAGCATAATTTGTGATGAATATTGTTGTCCATTGTGATTTAATGTTTTCATAGAACTTGTTGAATGATAAATGTTGGTTTGAAATAATTGAATGATGAATATTGCTTTTCATTACTTCGCATCGATTGTAATTGAGTTGTGTTCGGATTTAATTTAATTTCTATTGTTGTTGTGTTTATTGTGAAGTTGGTTGATTGGAAGATACGTGTTGACAAATTGTATTTGTTAATCGTGTACCAACTAGTGGTATTGTCGTGTAGCGTTTATCGGCGTTCAATGATAGTCTTTAACCAATCGAACTTGAGTGATCGGGTGAGACAGGATAGATTATACTTAGAGTGAAGGAAAGCCATTTCATTGATTTACCTTGCCTTGTAGGTTTAGGGGATTGTAGAGGGTGGAGGAGAATTGTGTGAGTCAGTCTTGTGTCGAACCAAAACCGTAACGACAACATTTTTATTATAAAGTCTTCATTTGTTTTAATTTCACGCTTTTATTATTTGCATTTAGTTTGTTTAGTTTAATTAATCACATTGTCAATTTCATTTCCGCTACTCAAAATACATTAGGTTGTTAGTCTTGCTCTCTGTGGATTCGACCCTGCTTACCGCTAACTGGTAGCTTGCCGAATGCTCCAAATTAAAAACCTTCCTAACCTAACTACTGAATTATATATAGGGTAAACAAGGGTCGATCCCACAGGGAATGGTTCGATTAGTTTCTATGTTCTAAAACAATAAAAACAACAGAAACGCAAATTAAACTCTAAACAGTAAACCTGACAACAGTAATGAAAGGGGGGTGTACTCAATGCAATCTAAAGTAAAACAAATCAATCGCTAATGGTAGAAAATATTCAATTAAAAACAATCAGTTCTCGGTTCAATATCCACCTAAACATGCATTGGACATAAAGTAACCGTAACACTGTTCTATCTCGTCATTATGGAACTACTGACCCTAGGAAACAACAAGCTCTGTTAGCTGAATTCTCCCTTAGTTTGTCACTACTGAAACAAGCTCTTCAAGTAGATATTAACCCTTGAACAACCTAGAACAAGCTCTCTAAATTTTATTCAATGGCAGCCTTAAGAATTAGGAGAATAGATCAATCTAAGCAACAATCACGTAAGCTCGGATTATTTAACTTAGGTTATGTTATTCAAGACAATAGACCAAAAACTTGTCCATAATCAGCTATCATCATGCGTCACTCGTTGAATAGAAAAAGGACGATTACGTATCACAATTCCTAATTCTAACAGGTAAATTCTGATTAAATAATTTAGCAGGCCAAAACTAAATCAATCAAACAAGAATCGCAGACAATTAAATTAGAATAACATAAACAATTCTAATAAAAACGAGATTGAGAACAACGTTACTGAAGTTAAGTTACACCAATGACATGAAATTAGGCTTCAAAATCCCCTTGAACTTAAGAAGGAAATTAGCCGCACATCTTGATGTAGAAAGCAAAAAAAAACTAAAAGAAAAACTCTACTGCCCTCCCCTGTTTAACCTAACAACTCCTCCATAAATAACATGTTTTTCTCCTCATTCTACCTCAGGAATCACGGAAAATCTTTCCTAGACGTTTCCTAAAAGATAGACTTCCAGATTGACAAAATCTTATCAGATATGGATTCCAGAATTCGTCTCTAGATTGCACCAGGATTCTCGCAATGTAAAAGATCTTTTCTAGGCTCTATCACTTCATAAAAATTGTATTCCTAGATGTGTAGATGAATCTGGGCTTTTGAATCACCCGCTTTTGATATTTGACGCTCCAGTTAGGCCTGTTCGAAGATTCAATACTCAGCTAAGGAATTCTTCTGCGACTAGGATTCCAGGTCCGGTTTTGCAATAACTACTGAGAACCCAAACGAACTCGGATTTTCTCCCATAATACCTTCCTGGAAATCTTGATTCGTCTACTTTACTTCTTCTGAAGGACACTTTTGCAATCGAGAAATATGACTCCATGAAAAACCTGAAAAACGAAGCACTGGTCAGAATAACGAAAAATCTGGAAAATCTGGAATTTCCTAATCTTTTCTCACTTATTTCCTAAAGTCTATCCAAATATGCCAAACTTACAAAATAAACTCTAATCAGCTCAACTAGGCATAAAACATAACAAAAACATAATATAAAAGGAATAAAAATATATAAATTACACTCTTATCACTAACTACGGTATTTAGGTTTAATTTTGTGACTGTGACGACCGGTTTGATAGTTTGGGAAGTTCACCAAAGCTATGAAGTTTTTTGGCTACCATCAAAGTAATTCAGGTCACACACTATTCCTAAAAAAATAGCAAGGAAAGATCAATGCACTAATTGTATATGTGGAAGATATGGTGATTACAGGAAATGATCTAAAAGAAAGGAAGGCTCTACAAAAGTACTTATCAGAAGAATTCGAGATGAAAGACCTAGGTTCTTTGAAATATTTTCTCGGAATCGAAGTGTCTCGATCTATCAAAAGTATCTTTCTATTACAAAGAAAGTATGTCTTGGCTGTGCTGTAAGAAACTGGTATTTCAGCATGTCAACCAACTGATACACCAATCAAAGAAGGTTTGAAATTAGGAGTTGAGGCTAATCAAGTACCAGTTGGCAAAGGGAGATACCAGAGACTTGTGGGAAGATTGATGTACTTATCTCACACTAGGTCAGATCTTGCTTATGCATTGTGTATAGTAAGTCAATTCATGCATAATCTTTGAGAACAACATATGAACGCAATTACGCGTATCTTGAGATATTTAAAACATGCTCCTCGAAAGGGAATCCTATTTACAAAAAATAAGGACTACTAAAATGTGAATGCATATACTGATGCTGATTGGGCAGGAGCAATGGATGACATACGATCTACTTCTAGTTATTTCACTTTTGTATGTGGTAATCTAGTCACATAGAGAAGTAAGAAACAAAATGTTGTGGCACACTCAAGCACTAAAGCAGAATTTAGGGGAATGGCACTTGGAATTTGTGAAGCTTTGTGGCTAAGATTTCTCTTGCAAGATTTGGGCTATCAACCTAATCAACCAATCTAGTTATATTGTAACAATAAAGCAACATGTGACACTGCTCACAATCCAGTTCAACATGATCATACAAAACATGTTGAAGTAGATAGATTTTTTATCAAATAAAAACTAGATGAAAAGATTATTGAATTGCCCAAGATTCGATCAGAGAATCAATTGGCCGATATTCTTACCAAGGTTGCCTCCAAACATATGTTCTCACAAGTTTTAGACAAGTTGGGATGTGTGACATGTACACACCAACTTGAGGGGGAGTGTTGAGATTTCATTTATATTTTGTGAATATTACGTAATCTCCTATTTTTGTCAGTTTTAGGATACTCATAATGTTCTTGATATCTTGTAATCTCTTACTTGTGTCGATATATTGTAATTAACATTATTAGGAGATTCCGTAGATTGTATATCTCCTATATAAAACCTATAACTCTTTGTGTAAATCAATGAATTGAAAATACAATTTTTCAAATTTTTGTGTTTGTGCCGGGATTGAAGCAGGTAATCAGGAGGAAGAACACTGAGAGATTTTTAAATGGTTTGCTGGCCCAAGCCACTTTAATCAAAAAAAAAAAAAAAAATTATTATTTCTCAATGCCTTTGTGCTCCACGACAATGGTAATGTAGGAAAAAAGATCTCCACACATTCCAATAAATCTCAAACTTTACATCTCCTGCTGCTTGTAAAATTGCAGAGATGAGTAAGTTTAGGAAACATAGTCCAAAGAAGCGTATAATGGTCATTCAGATTTCCACCATCTATCTGTGGCTTTTCTATTCTTTAAACAACAGTTATGCCCAGTTACAACCTGTAGAAGGCGGATACCCTCGTGTGAATATGAAAACACAGCAAGGGTTGACTAAAGTTGACCAATATTAGTGGAACATTAGTAGGCTAAACTGGACTGCATTCAGTTACTATTCAGTTAGTTGGGCTAACTGTATTATGTTACAGTCCACCTCAATACAGTTGATTTTAGTTGGGCTTTCAGTTGTACATAAAGTACTGAACAATACCTTTGCTATTAACGAAAAAAGATATACAATAAAGAAATCTGCATTTTTCCCTAATTTTCTTTCCCTTTCTCTCGTTTTCATTCTCTGCTTTTCTTGTTTACTGTCTTTACTCATTTGGTATCAAAGCCATTGACAAACGTCACTAATGGCTGATTCCTCTTCAAATCCTTCCTCATTCAACAATTCAAACAAGATCCCAAACACTGTTAACCTCATCAACTCATCTTCAATGAATTCGCCCACACTTTCAACAATTTCACCAAAATTGAATCGGGACAATCATCGATTTTGGAAGTCCCAGATACTGTTCGCAGTAGGAGCACATGATCTTGAAGAACACTCGACTGGATTAATTCCATTCCCAACTCCATTCATCAAAGCTCAATTGGATACTTCAAGCTTAGAGGTAACCAAGAAATCTAACCCTGAATATACACTTTGGAAGAAGACTGATAAAATGCTAGTTAGTAGGCTACTCTCATCCATATCAAAGTCAATGTTTGCTGTCATTTCCAAGTGTCAATTTGCCACTGATATATAGCTCACGTTAGAGAAAGAGTTCCTCACTGAATCTAGGGCTAAGATGTTACATGTTAAGAGTCTTTTACAAAATACCAGAAAGGAGAACATGAGCATGCATGACTACTTTCTTAAGATGAAAAGTTTTGCAGAAAATTTGTCTTCTAGTGGAGTAGTGATAACAGATGAAGAGCTGCTTAATTACATTCTGGATGGATTAGAGTCTGAATATGATGCAGTTGTTGTGAATATCACAACTAGGTTAGAGTCTAAGCTTAATTTTATAGAAACTTGAACTTAGGCTTGAAAGGGCAAACACAGTAATGAACTCTGTAGTTCATGGTGAGTTCCATGGAGGTATTGCTAATGTTGCTGCTCTCTCAGTTGATAATGAGAACAAGAAAACAGAGTCTGTGTCATTACCTATGCAACAAAACCCCACTCAAAGTCCTAATCCCTTTAATGTTCCCAATTTTAGTTCTACCTTCTTTGGACCCAACCAAAACAAGGCCAATTATCCCCTGCCTCAAAATCAAATCTATAATCAGCAGTTTCATGGAGGTAATTTTGGTAACAGAGGAAGAAGCAGAGGGGGTGGCAGAGGCAAATTCATCTACCAAGTTTGTGGAAAAACAGGTCATTTAGCCTTGAATTGTTACCACCGGTTTGATGTGAACTTTACAGGACATAACACCTCAATTAGAAGCAACTTTCACTCTCCTAGTTTCACTAGACAACCCTCATTCAACTCTGAAATTGGGAGTTCCGGAATTGGAAATTCTAGAACTGGAAGTTCCTATTATCCAGTGGGCAATCATGGTGTTCATCACTATGTGAATAATCACCACTCAAGAACTTCAGGAATGTCTCAAACACCTAGATCCACAGTTGGACATGTTGATGGTCAACCAAACTCAGTTGCTACCCATACTACTACTCATCTACACAATCAGGCTTTGATGGCTCAAACACAGCTCCACAACTCTCATCTTGTAGCCATAAACTACATTGCCACACCTTCCATAGTACATGATGATGCATGGTACATGGACTCTGGAGCTACAGACCATGTCACTTCTGATTTCTCCCAACTCACAGGAAGCACCAGCTATGCAGGCAGTGAACAACTTCAGGTTGGCAATGGTGAGCTTCTCTTTATTTCTGATATTGGTTCTGCTGATTTAAACTGTCCATTTAGAACTCTGCATCTTAGGAATGTCTTGTGTGTCCCTCACATTACAAAAAACTTTCTTAGTGTTTCTAAACTGACTAAAGATAATCTTGTCAATGTTGAGTTTTTTATTGATTCTTGTGTGGTTAAGGACAAGTTCTCCAAAGTAATCATTCTCAAAGGAATGCTTAAAGATGGATTATACCAACGTCAAGCTCCAGGTCACTCATTACCTACCTCTGCAGAAGAGTTGGAACATTCTGTTCAACTTCAACATAAAAGTAGTCCAGTCTTTTCAACAAATAAGTCACGTAATAAGTCTTGTAGCACCTCTTTTCCTGCAAAAATGTTGCCTACACCACTGATGTCAGAACATGCTTTCAATAGTTGTAAATCTGCCTGTGTTGATTTTGTTAATCAAAACTGCATGCAATACACTGGACCACTTGTATCCAACACTGTAATCTGTACTGATGATGCACCTATAATCAATAACACAAACTCTCTTCAATCATTTCCTGTTCAGTCAAATAATGTCATGTTGTGGCACAACCGATTAGGACATCCTAATTCCACCATTCTTGCAAGAGTACTTTACACTTTAAATCTACCTCATTTTGCTAAAAATGATATAACATTATGTTCTGCTTGCCAATTTGGCAAGTTACACCAATCCACATATCCTAGATCCACATATCATGCATCTAAACCACTTGAATTAGTTTATTCAAACCTTTGGGGACCTTCCCCTGTCACATCTCCCGAAGGCTATAGGTATTACATTCAATTCCTTGATGATCACAGTAGATTCACCTGGATTTTTCCTTTAAAAGTTAAATCTAAAACTTTCAGCATTTTTAAACAGTTTCATGTCCTAGTTGAAAAGCAATTCAACACATCTTTAAAATGTGTTCAAACCGATTGGGGTGGTGAGTATAGGAAACTAGTACCTTATCTACAAGAACATGGCATTACTTTTAGACATCCATGTCCTCACACTCACCAACAAAATGGTAGAGTGGAGAGAAAACATAGACAAATTATGGAACAAGGACTGACTTTATTAGCCCAAGCCAACATGCCGCTTAAGTTTTGGTGGTTTGCCTTTCAAACGGCTGCCTATCTTATCAATAGACTACCCACATCATTGTTGTCCAATGTTTCCCCTTTCCAAGTTCTATTTAAAACTTCTCTAAATTATTCCCTCATTAAAGTCTTTGGGTGTGCTGTCTACCCTTTCCTTCGCCCTTATAGCAATCAGAAATTTAACTTTCACACCACCAAATGCACCTTTATTGGTTATAGTTTAAATCATAAGGGATACAAGTGCTTGGATACTGCTAGTCGAATTTATATCTGTCAAAGTGTACAGATTTTCCATTTAAAACATCTAATTTTTCTGGTTCAAATCCTGCATCTAATTCCATAAACACTGAATATGTCTCTAGTTCATCTATTCCTTCAGTTTGGCATATACCTGATTCTGTTTTCAGGATGTCTTCCAATCCTGTTTCAGCTCCACTTTTGTCTACTTGTCCTTCCACACTAGGTCAATCAACCTCACAGGACATTCCCTCTTCTAGCTCACCTCTTTTATCACCTTCCCACTCTCCTAAATCTCATTTACCTCAGTCTTCAACCACCTCACAATCCAGTCCAACAACTGTACTTAGTTTACCCTCTACTTCTCCTAACTCTACCTCATTCACATCATCTATTTTATCACCTATCACTATAGGATTAGATGAGTCTTATGACATTGTTCCCCTTACTATTGAACTAAATCTACTCAAGCCTCCACCACCTACCCTGAATACTCATCCCATGATTACTAGGTCCAAAACCAGAGCACATAATACGTGTCTAGTTTCACCTATTTCCCTTGCAACTAAAGAACCGGCTACAGTCATAGAAGCTCTATCACACCCTACCTGGAAGGCTGCCATGCAATCTGAATTTGATGTCCTGATGTCTAAAAAAACTTGGGAATTGGTACCTGCTACTACAGCAAATGGGTATTTCGAATAAAGTATAATCTTGATGGATCCATTCAAAGGTTTAAGGCAAGGCTTGTGGCAAAAGGCTTTCAACAAAATCCAAGAATTGATTATCTAGAAACATTCAGTCCAGTGGTTAAGTCACTTACAATCAGAGTTATTTTGAGCTTAGCAGTGAACAATGGCTGGGAAATTCAGTAGGTTGACATAAATAATGCCTTCCTGAATGGTGAGCTTACTAAAAAGGTATACATGACTCAACCTGAAGGCTTTATTAGTTCTCAACATCCTCATCATGTGTGTAGGTTAGTTAAGGCTCTTTATGGTCTAAAACAGGCTCCTAAAGCTTGGTTTGAACAGCTCAAAAAAGCTTTTCTAAGCTGGGATTTTGTTCACTTAGTTGCTGATCCCAGTCTTTTTGTTTATCAAAAGATGGAGAAGACCATGTATGTACTAGTGTATGTTGATAACATCTTACTTACTGGAAATGACACCAATTTGCTGCATGAAACAATACATAAACTGAATACTCAGTTTGCCTTAAAGATCCTAGGCTCTCTCAAGTACTTTCTTGGTTTTGAAGTCATTAGAACAGCTTCCTATCTTCATATGAATCAAGAAAAATATGTTAAAGATCTCTTAACAAAGACTGTTATGCAGGATTGTAAACCATGTGCTACTCCAATGGCCATTGGCACCAAGTTAACTTTAGGAGATAGTGATCTATATGAAAATGCAGCCCTATATAGAAGTACAATAGGAGCCCTTCAGTATTTGACATTATCCAGGCCTGATATTGCTTACTGTGTCAATAAATTAAGCCAATTTCTCAAGGCTCCTACACAAAATCATTGGCAAGCTTGTAAAAGATTACTTAGGTATCTTAAAGGGACCTCTAACTATGGAATTCTCTTCACTAAAAGCACTAGAATCAACCTAGAATGCTACACTGATGCTAATTGGGCTAGTAGTATTGAGGACAGGAGGTCCACAAGCGGCTGCTATGTTTTCCTTGGCACTAACCTACTGCGATGGACTTCTAGGAAGCAGAAAGTATTGGCCCTATCTTCCATCGAAGCTGAGTATAGAGCACTTGCTCAAGGATCCACTGAACTGGCTTGGTTTTGCAGTTTATTCTCTGAACTTGGTGTTTCTTTGTCAGAAATTCCAATTATTTGGTGTGATAACCAAAGTGCTAGTTCTCTTGCGTCCAATCCAGTGTTTCATGGAAGAACTAAGCACATTGAACTTGATGCACACTATGTTAGAGAATAGGTTACTTCTCACAATCTCAAAGTCCATTATGTGCCCACTAAACACCAGAAAGCAGACATCTTTACAAAGGCTCTGCCAGCCTCTAGGTTTGAAACTCTAAGACACAAACTGACTATACAAGCTCCTCCTTCCTCTAGCTTAGTCAACTCAACATCTAATACTTAAATTGTTACAATTCAATGAAAGTTTTGATGATCTAAATAACTGTGTAGTCATTGCAAAATTCTGCAAAACAAGTCTTATAGCTGTAAAGTGTAGTAACAATCTGTTATGCAGTTTTTTTTTTTTTTTTTTTTTTTTTTTTTTTTTTTGGTCTGAAAAGTTAAAGTTTGTCATGTAATTGTTTTCTTTGTAATCCGAGAAATTGTAGTTTTTATGCAATTGTTTCTTTGTAAGCTGCTAAGTTGTAGTTGTGCTGTGGAGTTGTTTTGTTTGACGAATGTTGAAGAAGTTGCAGTTTGTTATGCCATTATTTCTTTTTAAGCTGCTAAGCAGTAGTTGTGCTGTGGAGTTGTTTTGTTTGAAGAATATAGCAGTCAACTTGAAAAGATAGCATTGAAGAGTTGTAGTTGAGCAGAGCTGAGCTGAAGCTAAGCAGAAGTGTAGTAGAGTAGAATAACTTTCAAAATGTAAGCTGAGAAGTTGCAGTTTGCTATGCCATCATTTTGTTGCACAGCTGCTAAGTTGTAACTATGTTGTGAAGACAATGTTTGGTTGAAGAATGTAGCTGTTAAATTGAAAAGACAAAGTTGAAGTGTTGTAGTGGAGTAGAACTGAGTTGAAGATGAGCAGAAGTGCAGGATAAGTTTTTCAAGATTGTGATTGAGTAGAGTTGTAGTTGAAGTTTGAAGAATTGCAGATTGTGAAATCCAGAGTTGTAGTTGAAGTTTGGAGAATTGCAGATTGTGAAGTGCAGATTGAGCTAGTTAAAATGAAGTTTGAAGCAGATTGAGAAGTTAGAAGAATGAAGTTTGAAGCAGATTGAGAAGTCAGAACAATGAAGTTGAAGATGAGCAGAAGTGCAGGGTAAGTTTTTCAAGATTGTGATTGAGTAGAGTTGTAGTTGTAGTTTGAAGAATTGCAGATTGTGAAATGCAGATTGAGCTAGTTAAAATGAAGTTTGAAGCAGATTGAGAAGTCTGAAGAATGAAGTTGAAGTGTTGTAGTGGAGTAGAACTAAGTTGAAGATGAGCAGAAGTGCAGGGTAGAAGTACAGGGTAAGTTTTTCAAGATTGTGATTGAGTAGAGTTGTGGTTGTAGTTTGAAGAATTGCAGACAGTGAAGTGCAGATTGAGCTAGTTAAAATGAAGTTTGAAGAATTGCCATTTGATTTGTAGCAGAATGTTAGAATGTGGATGAAATAAGGAATTCAAGGAAGTTTGATTTACGGCAAGATGTTAGAATATGGATGAAATAAGGAATTCAAGGAAGTTTGATTTACGGCAAGATGTTAGAATGTGGAAGAAATAAAATTCAAAGAAGTTTGATTTTCGACAAGAAGTGAATATGAGAAACACAGCAAGGGTTGACTAAAGTTGACCAATATTAATGGAACATTAGTGGGCTAAGCTGTACTGCATTCGGTTACTATTCAGTTAGCTGGGCTAACTGTATTCTGTTACAGTCCAGCTCAATACAGTTGATTTTAGTTGGGCTTTCAGTTGTAAAACAAGTTGTATATAAAGTACTGAACAGTACCTTTGTTATTAACCAAAAAAGATATACAATAAAGAAATCTGCATTTTTCCCTAATTTTCTTTCCCTTTCTCTCGTTTTCATTCTCTGCTTTTCTTGTTTACTGTCTTTACTCATTCCTTGTAGCCGCATTGCTGATTTAAATGTTACTAAATGAAGTCTGGCTTTCATGTCAATTTTCTATTGCACAAATTTATTGAAATCATAAAATCAATTTCTCTTCAGGTGTAAAATACTTACCAATATTGAAGAATTTGATAGTTCAGCTCATTGCAATAGCTTCATATGGTTACCTTCAAATGGCACAACCTCCAATAGATATGGTTTAAGTATTTTTCCATTGTTTTGTTTTCATGTATTTTAAATAATTCATATGCAGATTGTTTAAAGACTGGATTTCAAATTTTGTTAATTCTAATGTCTCGTCTTTGTGGGGGCTCCTGTTTTTGCAGAGCCTCGCTCCGTGGTTTTAATCAAAGACCGTAGTTAACTGTTTTTTTCCTTATACTTGTAAGGTGAATGTTCTATAGCGGAACAGTTAGTGGGCATTTGCAGTGGCCAGCAATTTTCTCATCAAAGTTCCCACATTTGTACCTTAACATCAGTGGCAGCATATGCATAACAAAATCAATGCAGCCAGAAGTTTAAAGTCCACTTGAAAAGAAAGAAAACTGTGTAATTACAAAGTAAACTGTGTTATAACATTAATTATCAATTTAGAGAAATCAATGGATGAAAGCCTAATTGACCGTCAAGCTTTTGGGCCTTGTACTTTGGAAGTTTCCCTAACCATGAGACATGCAAATAGGACGAATCAATGAAAAGTAAATTCTGTGTGTTTATATAAGCATTCGTCTTTCATTAATTACTTATTTCTTCAAGCTAACAATAGATCATCAAACAAAGAATCTTTGTGCACCAATATAAGCAGTGTTGCTCATTCAACATATTTAGTAAGAATGTGCTTATGGAGTTTCTCTTACCATGTGTTGCTCATTTTCATGTTTGGGGCTTACACTCAAAGAAGTAGTGGAAAGGCCACATTCTTACTTGTATGGTCATATTCTAAGGTTTCCAATTATGGCTCATTCTACCACTAAATATGTTGGCGTGAGAAGTGGTTTGATTATTCTGAAAAAGTGAGGAATCCACTCCCACAAGTTGCTTTTGATTGTCCATTCTTTTCCTTCTTTTTGTTGGGACCGACTTCGGTCTCTCTAGCTGGTTGAAAATGTGTATGAAACCAAATACAGTGGATATTATCTGGCCCCTGCCACCATGAAATGAAACTTTTGATTGTGCTAGTTAGTGGCTTGCTCAAATAATGGACGGTGTGTTTAGGTTTTAGAGGGATTAGCGATGAAAATGTACCTATTTTGTTGGGGAATATTCAGCAAAGAGTAATAAACGATGTTGCTAATTAGAAATATAAATTTTCAAATTTTCTTGGTTCACAGAAACGTGGAGGAGGGAGAAATATAGATCAATTTAGAAAAGAATAGCCAATATGAAAGCTTAAAAACTCGACATGACATACCAGTTATTTCTCGTTTGATTCTACAGGGTAGCATTCCGCTTAGTTGTTGATAATGATGACACTGTTTTTGTTAGCTGGAATTAAGCTTGAGATATGATCAATGTTTTAATGGGAATTGCTTCACCATATGTTGCAAATATCTCTCATGTGGTTCAAAACTTTACAACCCAATAAAGATTAAGCTTCGAAGAACAAAATGCAGAAATACTGGACTCAGTTAACTCAGGGCCCTCCCCCAGAAATAGTGGCATGAATTATGAAGTGATTTGGAATTACTTTGACATGGCCGGCAATTCCATCAACTTTACTATTTCTTTTTTTTCAGCACTTGACAGCTCGAGAAATATTGGATCAATTAGTTTGAGTTGTAATTTATCACTGAAAACAAAAGTGGAAATGCAACAAACGAGGCTCTCTTTATTGTTCAAAACAAAAGTGGACAGCAGCCCACGCAATCCAATCTAAGGATGGATTAATTTGATTGGATTTTTGTGGCTAATATTATTTCTTTGCTAGGACCAATT